CTGGCGCGGGCGGGGGAGGCGCGGTCGTTGAGCGCCGGAGGGGCTCTCGCGGTGGAGAGGTGGGGGCCGCCCTGGGGCGCAGGACAGGCCTGGGGCGCAGGAGGGCTTTTGGGGCGCAGGGCTGGCCCGAGGGCGAGGGCGGGGAGACAGGGGCGCCACGGCCGGGGGAACAGCAGGGGCGGGGGCACAGGCGGCGCGGGGCGGGGGCCGAAAGGGGGCTCAGAGATCGGGCCCCGCGCCGCCCCTCACCCGCTTCTCCTCCTCCTCCTCCTCCTCCGGCGCCCGCGCTGCAGCCGCCACCACCTCCCACAGCCTCCTCCAGCTCTCGCGGGACAGACTCGTCGCACCTCCCTTCTGACCCGCGGGCCCCGCCTCGCCACCACTGCTGCGAACTCCTAATGGCTAAACTCGCCGCCATTCTTCCGATGCTATGACGCTTGCCCCACTCCTATTGGCTGAGTTTCACGCTTAGCCTCCCCTCTCCGCTCGTCTGTGCCCTTACAAAACCCCGTCACGCCCACACTGCTGGCAAGCGTCACGACTGCTGTCATTGGCTGATACAGGTGTCCTTCAGCCGCTGCATGGGGACTGTCCCGCCTCCTCCTAGTAAGCTTGACATCGACTCCCTTATTGGATGAAAGCGCCGTCTCTCCGCCCGAACGCGGGTTGAGTCGGGTTAGCTAGCTCCGGCTGGAAGAGGGCGGGTCCCCTCAGCTCCAGCATTCGTATATGATTAGCTGGCCTTGAAACGGGCCATCTTTCTATTGGCTAAATCTCTGTCTGTCATTATAGAGTCGCGACCTCCTCATTTTTTTTCCCGACACAGGAGGGAGAAATCCCAGGCAGCGGGCGGTAGGTGGGTGGGGTGGACACGCGCGCCTCCTTCGCTCCCGCCCCTTGAGGCCTGCGGTTACCAAGGCAACAAAACTTTATTAACAGCCGTGCCTGGCTACAAAGGGCTCCCCTTCCCTTCCTCTACCATTACGGCGTTTCGTTTGGAAACTGTGTGTCCACACGAGGACTCTGGGGCTTTCTGGTCGCACAGCCCGGTCGGAAAGCGGGAGACCGAGAAGCTTTGCAGAGAAGCCCCGATTCACGGCGCTCCGCTGGCAGCCCCCTCCCCTGTTAGGCTCGCGTCCCCGCCTCGCTCCGAGAGCGAGCGGCTTTCGCGACCCGTCCTCGTTTCCTACTCAGCGCGCTCCACGCCTGCTCAGAGCAGGCGGTCTTTGTTTTTGTTTTCATCCCGGCTGTATATCCCGTGCGCTGAAGCCCAGTGCGCAGCACGGGCCTCGTTGAAATGCATGCGGTGGTCGGCGACCAGCCAATGGGGAGAGGGCTGGCCCTTCCGCGCTGCTTTGTGACCTTGGAAAAGTGGCCCTCCATCTCTGGACTCCACACAAAGCAAACAAAGACCACCCCGTGACTCTCATGATCACCTCCTTTTTTTTTTTTTTTTTGGTCTTTTTGAGGGTCTGGCTATGCAGCTCAGGCTGGCCTTGAGCTCACTTTGTAGCCCAGGTTGGCCTCGAACTTGCAACGATCCTCCTGCCTCAGCCTCCTAAGTGCTGGAATTACAGGCGTGCGCCACCACCCCCAGCACGATCACCTCCTTAATCACCGCTGAGGTCTAAAACCCCTCCACCCCAGGGTGACCACATGTCCACGGCCATCCCTGAAGGCTGGTCTAGTGCTGGCAGAGGGAGACTTAGGTGAGGTGACAGGTGACCTCTGCCTGGGAGGGACAGGGCACCAGCTCTAGAAAGGAAAAGCAGCTTTATCCAGGCAGGGGAGACCTGCGAGGGGAGCTCAGCTGGTGGAAAAATCATAGCAGCCTGACTGACACTTAGGAGAACAACCCTGCCGGCCGGGCCTAGTGGCACACGCTTGTGACCCCAGCACTTTGGGAAGCTGAGACAGGAAGATTGCAAGTTGAAGCCAGGCTGGGCAGTTTAGCTACTTAGCGAGAACCCGTGTCAAAATTAAAGATAAAACAGGAGGGCTGGTGACGTAGCTCCGTGCAAAGCCCAGAATTGAATGCCTAGTACTGAAGAGGAAAAAAAGGCCTCACATAGATAAGTAATAAATACCCTATTGCATGTGTGTACCACGTTATTTATTCATTTATCAGTTAACATAATTGGTCTTCGTTCCATATTTTGGCTGGATTCAATCCCCAGTACCAGACAGAAAAAAAAAAAAAAAAAAAGGCCAGCCCTTCTCCTTGGGGGTGAACATCCACGAACTTTCACGTAGAGGGAAGAGCTAAGCACAAGAATCCTCGCCACAGCACCAAGCTGAAAGGTCCCAGTGGTGCCCACAGTGTGGCAGCCCTCTTGGGTTGACGATGTTCTGGACCAAGGCAGTGGCGATGGTTATATAGCGCAATGCAGCTACTTCACGCTGGTGTGGTATGCTTTCAAGGGTCGCTTCCGATGCTAATTTTCTTGTGTGTTGTGTTTCGTTATTGTTGTTTTTTGTTTTGTACTGGCAGTTGAACCCAGGGCCTTCACACCTAGCTACATTTGCAGCTCTTATTTTTAGTTTGAGACAGGGTCTCACTAAGAGGCTAAGTTGCCCAGGCTGGGCACAAACTTTGGACCTTACTGCTCAAACTATTCATAGTGCTGGGATTACAGGGTGGGCCATCATGCTCAGCCCTGGTGCACATCTCTTTTTTTGTTTTTGTTTTTGTTTTGAGACAGGATCTCACTATGCAGTTCAGGCAGGCCTTGAACTCAGTTTGTAGCCTAGGCTGGCCTCCAACTCTCAGCAATTCTCCTGCCTCAGCCTCCTGAGTGCTAGAATTACAGGCATGTGTCACCAGGCAGGGTGCCTAGTGCATATCTTTTTCTTTCTTTTTTTTTTTTTTTTTTGTCTTTTTGAGACAGAGTCTCCCTATGCAGTTCAGGCTTGCCTTGAGCTCACTTTGTAGCCCAGGCTGATCTCAAACTTGGAAAAATCCTCCTGCCTCAGCCTCCTGAGTGCTGGGATTATAGGCGGGCAGTAGCACCCCGGCTCTGGTGCACATCTTGATTGTAACCTCTTGGGAAACCCAAACCCGGCCTGCACAGCTAAGCCCCTCCTGAATTCCTGCCCCGTAGAAACTATGTGGGATGGGGAGTGTTTGCTGAGGCCTGCCTGTGTCACTGCTGGGGAAGTCACGCATATCTAAATTAAAATCTCACTTTCTCACAGTGGCTCCCAGAACCTCATTACTGCTGTTTGGCTGTTGCCTTATTGTGTCCCCCCATGACTCAGCTGTGACATCTCACAGCACCCCTGCTAAAACGTGCCCTGGCCCTGTTCTCTCCCACAGCAGGCTGCACACAAAGACACCCATCCGGAAGACCCCCTCTCCACCCACCTCCTCCAGGTCTTGGCTCAAATGTTGCTTCCCCCTGAGATCTGCCCAATGCAAAACCCTTGGTTCAAAAATTACTGACGCTAGCCGGACGTGGTGGTGCACGCCTGTAATCCAAGCACTCAGGAGGCTGAGGCAGGAGGATCCCTGTGAGTTACAAAATGAGCTCAAGGCCAGCCTGAACTGCATAGTGAAACCCTGCCTCAAAAAGATTAAAAAAAAAAAAATTACTGAAGCTGGGCGTGTTGGTGCATGCTTGCAATCTTAGCGCTTGGAAGGCTGAGGCAGAAGGATCCAAACGAGTTCAAGGGTGGTGTGGGCTACATAGTGAGTTCAAGCCCAGCCTGGACATACCGTGACAGCCTGTCTCAGAAATCAAGAACAGAAACAAAAACAAACAAGCAGACAACAACAAAGAAAGAAAGAATTTCAAGACGATGGTGGTAGAGCATTAAACTAGCACAGGGCCTGCTATTATATGCAGCTAAATTAGACAGAAACTGATGGCAGTCAGACAGGGAGGAGCCCTCAAGGGTATCAGTGCAGAGGATGAGAACATGTCAGAACTGTGGCTGGAGGCCCATTGGGAGAAGGCCAGGCCCCAGGATAAAGATGTAACAGCCAGACCTGTATGCCTCTAGAACAAATGATAACTTGAGATTATAACATAATTAGCACTACCCGGTCCAGCAAATCCGTGTAGACATCAATCACCCTGGTGGGTGACCACAGCATCTGGCTCCACCCCTTTCCAAAAATGTCTCAGTTCTTTCCATGCACCCTTGCTGCATGGCTTGCTTTCCTATTAGATCTTTTTTTTTTTTCCCCCGGTACCCGGAATTGAACTCATGACCTCGCGCTTGCCAGGCAGGCGCTGTGCCACTGAGCTAAATCCTATTAGATCAATACCAGCTAAGCAGCTATACTTGTATTTCTATTGGTTGATTATAGTTTGACCCATATTGGTGGCGCACACCTGTAATCCCAGCACTTGGGAGGCTAAGGCAGGAGGATTGCTGTGAGTTGGAGACCAGCCTGGGCTACAAAGTGAGCTCAAGGCCCGCCTGAACTGCATAGCGAGACCCTGTCTCAAAAAGACAGAAAAAATAAATAAATATAGTTTGACCCATGTTGTACCCACCTCGTGATTTTGCCCTATAAAACATTCTTGGAGAGATGGCTTCTTAGCAGACCACTTTTGAGACCCCTCCTGTCTCTCAGGAGCTCTCTGTGAATAAACCTTTCCTGCTCTTAACCTTCCTTGTCCCTAGGAATTTATTCTTTGATTTCAGGGACACACATTTGGCACATCTGACACCTAGCAGGTTAGGAGTTATATTTCTTCCCTATCATTTTGGAGATTCCACTGAAATCCTCGGAAGGAGGTAAGAGTTTGGTTTTGTCTCATGATATCTGAAATATTTCAGTGGGATTCTAGATTGTGATTTGTTTAGGTAATCAAGAATTGTCACCTTCTCTTTGCTAGTTACTTATGCCTTGTCTTTTTAAAAAACAGCGATAGGAAGCTGGGCATGGTGGTACATGCCTGTAATCCCAGCACTTGGGAGGCTGAGGCAGGGGGATCATTGCAAATTTGAGACCAGCCTGGGCTACAAAGTGAGTTCAAGGCCAGCCTGAACTGCATAGTGAGACCCTGTCTCAAAAAGACAAACAAACAAACAATGATAGGGCCGGGGATATAGCTCAGCAGCAAAGTGCCTGCTTGGCAAGCGCAAGGTCCAGAGTTCAATTCCTGATACCAAAAAAAGCCAAACCAAACCAAAACAAAACAAAAACAATAATGGATTTAAATTGAGTGCATGGGAAGATTGTATGTGGTATCTTCATATCTAGGTTTCTTTGATAGGACATATTATTTTTGCAGGCCTTATATTCCTGTTTTGTATATGCTGAATTTAGACTTTTACACTGGTTGTTGAATTTGTGTGTGTTTCTTTGTTGA